CTTTCCCTCTGAGAAAGGCTGTGAAAGGCAGCATTAAGGGCTGCATACAAAGAGGTGCAAAAAAACCAGACATGCATAATTATTCTTTTGCACAATTATGAATGATGCTTCGTGTTCTTTGGCATCGTTTAGTTTTGTAGATGTGCATCCTCCTCCTTTCCCCCTTGCTTTGCAGCACTTGTCATCCAAAGAGAAAAGACAAGGCTCTTGCTGAAAATCCCAAAATCAGTCAGACACAACGTAAAAGCTTCAGCAAGAACTGAATGTGCTGCTCAGTTTTCTCTTGGTATTTTTCACAGGGAGCACATGACATTTATTTTATATTGTGCCATCTTCTCTGTTTTAAAGTACACTGTTTCAAAGTACCAGGAAGATCCTTTTCATCTTACAGGAAGGGTGATCTTCCCCATAATCAAGCTACAGGATACACCTCGGTGAGGGCTTGCCACGGTTGCTGTACGGTTGCATGTTCAAACTCTGAACCTCACAAACCTTTTGATATACCAGACATCAGACAGAAGAAGCCTTCTGCTTGCCTTTGTTTTGTGCTGTTTGATAAAGGGCAATCCATTAGTTCAGAACTCAACCCCACCTGTGAATAGGGGTGAGAACAGGGATGCATATGAATATTGTATTGTCTCTTCTTACCTCGTAGTAGCTCTGGACAGCGTTTATAAATGCTTCATCTGCCACAATCTGGGTTTCTCCGTTGAGAAAGGCCTGGAAACGATCTTTGATTGTCTGGAGCTGCTGCTTGCTTATCTGCAAAACATGCCAAAAGGAGAAAATTAATCAAGAAAGGTTTATGTATGAAGAAAAAAAACCCAAACACTAGTTTTCCTGTACTGTCTTATGGGCATGATTATGATGTGCATTTTCTGCTCTCCTTTGGGGACAGCGGCAATAAATTTGGAATCAGCCACGCGTGGGTACACACGCACACGTATTCTTCACCCTGGCAAGTTCATTTAAGCATCCTGAGCACCTAAAGTCACACTGAACATCATTTCTAAACATCTCTGTCCCCACAAAATGCACAAAACACTCTTATCACTTCAGCTGTACCTAAGTCAAAAGGAAGCTGCTTGAAAGAGACTGCTCCAGTGCAATCTCTTCCCCATTTAGGCTCTCCTCCCCCTTCAGAAGATGAGGTTTCACCACTGAACCTTGTGAGCTGGCTGTTGAAGACAGCACTCAGCACCACTCCAGCACCTTGGTCTTCCCTTGTTTGTTTTTCCCTTGCTTATTTCTTTTGGCTTGTCACACATAAAACATCAGCCAGGACCAGTGGCGAGAGAATTTAACGCTGTTTTTGCCAAGGGCAAATCTCCTCTCCTTATCCTAGCAAGGACCTTCTCTGTTGCCTCCTTTGAAACTCAAACCAGTTTCTGTCCAGCTGGTATAACTTACAAGACACATACTTGTCACAGTGACATCAACAGAAAGTTTATATTCCAGCCTTGCCATTATTTTGCCAGTTTCTCTGTCAGTTTAAAAACCAGACATAGCTACAAAACCCCCACCTCTTTAGCATGTAGTGCAGACAAAGTCACAGCAGGCACATAAGTCATGTACCAGCAATGCCAGCACAGCATCTTAAGATGCAGATAACTCTCTGAAGGGCCGTGGGGATTTAAAGGTTGTTGTGCCTGGTTTGCTGTGGGGCTACGTTAAGTTTGAGGCTAAGAATTGATTTAGACAAAAGAGAAGGAAGCAAACAAGATGTATATATGACAGTTTCAAACTTAAAGGGAAAAGAGAGCAGTAAGAATAGGACAGCTATTTACTAATGACCAAAAGGCCTAGAGAAGAGTGCTTCTTTCTCACTCGTGTGCCAGTAGAAGAAACCAGCCCATTAGAATGGAAGAAAAAGACAAAATTAATGGCTCCAAGTATCTAAATGGCTTTGAATAAAGTACTGAAAGCTACAGAGATTCAAACAACTAGAGCATAATGAAGCCTGGTAAACACAGCTAGTGATAAAAAGCAGGAGAGGGACCACTTGGAGAATGCAACGATAAATATCACTAGATCTAGATGATGGGCCATGTGGGTTGTTTAGGGACTGCAGTAACGAACATCATGAATGCTGGTAATTAATTCTGCACCACCACGCTGAGGAGGGTTAGTGCGCAATGACGATTTGATGTGATAATCTGGGATTAGTTTATCCTGGTGCTTATGGAGAGGTGTTCATCAAAGTGGCATAAAGCAAAACTCAATATGGTCTGCTTCAGAAAGCGTGGAACAATCTTCACCACCCCATGGGTGCTGGAAACAAAGGTCATACCCAGCCCCAGCACAGACTTCACAGGGTCTGACACATGCAACAACGTTCAGCATCACAGGGCTGGAGCAAGGCCCATCCTTGGTTAGAACCTCCCCCACCTCAGCCTTGGGCACCATCTGCAATAAGCCCTATAGAAAAGCTCCTGCCTTTAATGCTGTCAGGATCTAATTGTTGGCTCTAAGAGTCCATCTGAACCAGGCCACAAAAACTTGTTGTGGTATTTGCCAACAGCATCCTAGACATCACAAGCCCTGGGGCAATGCGCACAGCATCAGGCATAAAGCAGGCTCCAAACCTGAGCTGATGGAAGCTCCTGATGAAATTTAAAAGAAAACAGGGTCAGCAATAAGAGGAGGGAGAGGCAATGTAGGGATCGAGTGGGAGACACCTGTGGGAAGGTGCTAGATCTATTTTTATTAAGCATTTAATTATCTGGAAGAAAGGAAAAGCAAGATGTTAATTAAATGTATTGATGATTTTGTATTAGTAACCAATGTGAACATGAGGCAGACACGATGGGCAATAGAAGCCATAAGAAACAAAGAAAACAAACAGGAAAACTACAGGTAACACTGAAATTAGTGTTGAGGCACAAGGAAAGACATACTAAGGGCACAGATACTGTGAGCCAAGAGGCTTTTCATTTGGGATTTGACCAGTGTGCATGGCATTTTTATTATTATTATGGTCCAGGTTATTTCTTAGGACAACCTCCAGAAGTCCTTGCTTGTTCAATCCCCATAATGCCATCTAGCAGCAATATTTTATGCTCCTTCCTCAATACTGAACGGGCTACCTTCAAAATGAATGATGCTCCTTGAAATTCCTAGAAACTCCCAACACGCAGCTCACATGTGAGCTCCTGAGGGCTGTGGAAATGAATCATCGGATTCGTCTCTATTGGAGCGGCTGCTGCTTCCTCCTCGCATCCAAGCTTTATGCAACTATTTAACTTGTCCAGGGAAAAGGAGATCCTCTGTGATCACACCAGGCTGCAGCATGGCCCAGTCCTCTGCTAAAAGCACCTTCAGTCTTCCATCCCCACCAGACCATGAAACAGCACTTGCTGCATTGATTTGTGACTGTACCACTGTCACGGATGTGTTATCAAGAAAGCAGTCGATCTGAGCCAGAATTAAACTATTTTCACATTAAATTTAGCTTCTGCAGCACAGCAGCAGGTGCCCTGCGCAGAAAGTCAGCACCAGCAGAGGGGAACAGACCTGCAGGTCAACAAAACCTGCCCCAAATGCTTCACCTCCCATTTTATGCCTCTCCTCCTCCCTCTCAAATGCCAAGGGCATCACTGCTGAGCCCCAGAAGTGCCCCTTGGGTACCAGGAGGCACCACATCCCTGCTGGAGGCAGGACCAGGGCAGGGGAGCAGCCTCAGCCCCACGCCACACTCCAAAGCCTTTAAGCAGGGGCAAGCACCAACCCATTTGCAGGCTTAGAAGAGTACATGCTCTGAACTCTCATCTGGAAGCTTACGTGCTTTAAGAGCAGGGGTATTATTTTATCTCTTCCTATTAGAGGCACGAGTCATCAGCTAGAAATCCATATGAAGCAGGGCAATAGCTTCTGCAGGTCCACTAAGGCTCCAATACAAACCATTTCTCCGTTACCTTCCGTAGTGTGCTCACAAATAGTGGAGAACAACAGAATTAGTTCCCCTTCAAAGCACATCAGTACAACATGACAGCCCTTGCACCAGCTATGGCAGCAGGCGAAACCCTGTTGGGCGCGAGGCTGGGGGGGGGCCAGAGCCTCACTGCCCTGCTGGAAACACAAATCCAGATACAAGGAGAGAGATGGGAATAAGCAGGAGCACTGTGGTGGATGGAAGAGGCTTATTCTGTTTACCTTCCCTCAGTGCTTTTCCCCTCACTGCTTTCAGTGTGACTGCCATTAAGGAAGCAACAATCATTTCTGCATTTGAGACTGCAGAACACCCTGCTTGCACACAGAAGCTGTGGACACAGGTGACCTCTCTCAAGTTCATACTGTAGGGTGCTTATGTTTATTCACAGCCTTTATCTGTCTAAAGCAAGTGAGTACTTAAGTTGCCAGATAGACACATGCATATCAAAAACGTAGTTTGAGTCAGTGATGATGAATTCCTGGCACAGGTAACAGGCAGGGCACCCATGGAGCTTTGGGTTGGCATCCCTAGGGGATTGCATGGCTTTTCATAAGCAGCTTGGCAGAGGTCTTCTCCATAATGGCCTGAACTATGGGAATGAGCTCACCAGTGGCTAGATCTGGGCACACCAATGATTCCTACCTTCTTGGTCTAACTTAAGAGAAACTCCATGTCCAGCACAATGCAGAGACCTCAGAAATGGGGTGGAACATCTCTGTCACGTGCCATGTCCCCACCATGGTCATAAACAAATCACAGAGGCAATTCCTTGCATTTGCTTGATGCAGATCTCAGCAAACAGCACCCCAGCCTCCCTGGGACAAATGCTCACCAGCAGCTTGCTTGCTACGTGTTATTTTTGCACATACTCCATCTGACTTGGAGCTGAACATAAACCTGAACACACAGCACCATGGCACCTTCTCCAGCAAACAGCTGGCTCCATCTCTGTGCATCATCTCCAGCCTCCCTCACCTACAGCACAAGCATTCCAAAGAGGAGCTGCTTGCTGCAGAGAAGTTCCCTGCAAAAAGTCACACGCAGCAACGTGCCTCCCTAATCCATCCTCTCCCCAAAAAGCTTTGTTCTGTCTGAGCACAGCACGGCCATACAGCTCCCCACTTAGGGTCTACGTTTCACAACAGTACGTTAGCTGGATCTGGGTTTTAGCCCACATGCTGTATCGTGGACAGGCTCAAAGCAGAGTCTCAGCTTTACATGCTCTGGAGCTTGAAGAATTAGAACAACTTCCACAGATTTTGACTCTTTTAAATTGAACTTTCACATCTGCGTGTGTCAAGAAAACAAGATCCTTGGCACTCACAGAACAGTTGAATTTCCAGGCTTTGTATATGTATATTAACAGTATTAAATGCCCAAGAGCCACAGATGACATGACTTGAAAGATAGTACAAAGGGGAGTTTTGTAAGAATTTATATGAACTCCTGCATAATGTTGCAGTGAGGGTGGTCCAGCGCTAAGACATGGGGCCAGGGAGGCTGTAGCATCTCCAGCCTCGTGAATTTTCACAACCTGACTGCATGAACCCAATCCGGTTTGGGAGGGAACCCTGCTTTGAGCAGGAGAATCAGACCACAGACCTCCACAAGTCCCTTACAACCTGCAATATACTACGGCAGTACCATGTCTAACAAAAGATTTTCAAGGACAGCCCATCCTAGACTGTAAATTGCCAAATCTTTCAGGGCTTTGTCAGTGGCAGGCTACAGAATAACCCATCCACAGCTGTACGTATACTCAAACCAGCTAATAAAGCCACATCCATCACTGTGACAGCTCCTGGAATAGCAGTCAGATTGAACTCTGCAG